ATGTGCTGTACATGTGGAAGAATTGACAATAAAGCAGACTTGAATCTTGAAAGATCATTGATTATTTTCCAGATTTCAAAACCTGCCAAGGAACAGATGATTTTTTTTTTTGCGCTACAACATGGGATTAATCAATGCATGCTTTTATCGTAGTTTATAGTTATATGGAAACGAAAGTGGTTAACATTCATTTTTCATCAGTATTATTTGTTATTTGAATTTTGTAAACGGGAGTTCCTCTTTTGCCGTGTTATAAGCCAGGCTTGGGCATGTTTTTCCCCACAAGAATACCAACATGTTCACCTTCTCTGGTTTAAGAAGCGGTCTTTTACTTTAGCTTGAAACCATCCATCGTTTCCTCAATATTCGCGTCCTTTTTGCTGCTGCACCTTCGTGCTCGTGCTGACGCGGCGAGTATAAACCAGGCTCTACACTCTAAGCGCTGCGCAGTTCAAACGAGTAGCGTGGTTTCATTATGCTTTCAGTTTAGTTTGCCGTTTTATGTTTCACTTATGCAACAGAAATGTCAGCGCTTATGAGTTGAACAACGCGGTGGTCGCGCCAGTGCGACCGCACACAAAATTTAGTCGCACAGGCAGAAAAAATTTGGTTGCAGTCTGGAGCCCTGCAGTTTGGTATCACGATTTTCTGTTTTGGGGTCACTGTTCGATACGAGTTTGGAACAACAGGAAATTTATTTTTTTTCTTTTATTTTGAACAGACGATAGTGCTACATACATGAGCAGTTGTATTTGATTTGAATTAGATTGTATAATTTCAAGATTTAAAGCAAAAACAGAATGGTCCGACTTTAGATTTGTGAAATTATGCTACATAAGACACCTGCACAAAACAAAAACAGCAGACGGGCTGAATGAAAATGCAACTGATTTCTCTGACAGTAGGTGGCGCTTATGGAACAGCAGCGATTTAGAGTTTCCTTGGTTACCGCTGTAAACAAAGCAATTCTGTGCTTATTAACTCTACTTTAATATGCATTATATGGAGGTAAGAGGAAAAGAAAACATCATCAAAACATTTCTGAAGACGGTCAGTTCCTGACTGACTGTATTCATCCTCTGACAGCATGAACCGAACCGTGACGTTCATACGAATACATGTACCTGTACGCTCCTAATATATATATATATATATATATATATATAAAAACAAAAAATCTAAAAGAAAAATATATATTTTTTTACATTTTTCAATATTTCCAATTTTGGACTACTTGTCAAATAATAACATGCATAAGTAACGTAATAAGTTCACTACATTTTCTGCATTTTGTGCTGAAATGCATTAGACAATACAAATAAGATTTACTGGATTAAATTAACAACAATTAATCGTCCATTAATCATTAACACCTCTAAACAGCAGTACAGACTGCAGGTATGTGGCCATTAAAACAGATGTTTTCATGCTTTTTCTCTGTTTAACGATTGATTTAAGCTTTGTATATAAATTCTGTCATTTGTGGCAGCCCAAATTTGAGCAGTTTCAACAAAGTAATGGAATATTTCGAAGTATAAATAAAGCAAACAGCAAATGTTAGTGATGGAGAGGCTATAAGACAAGTTTTTTTAAAGATAATACTTTACTATAGGTGCAAAAACAATCATACCTCAGCAGATGTGGATGTGGGCGGGGTTGCCGCCTCTTTGGTCTCCTCTGATTGGACGGCCTCTTCTGGGTGGGACTCCAGAAGCTCCTCCTCCACTTCTTTATGTTTCTTCTTTTTCTTTTCCTCTTTGCTCCTCTACAAAACATCAAAACCACCATATGAATATTAATGAAGTGGAATTACAAAAACGCTCTTAATTGCTTAAATGCAGATATGTGTGTTTACAATTATTATTCATACAAAACTGCCATCTCACCTTCCTGTCCTTCTCCTTGCCTTTCTTCTTCTCCTTCTTCTCCTTACCGCTCCTCTTCTTGGTCTCCTGCGGGATGCTCTCATTGACTCTGTCCTCGGCAGGGCTCTTCAGCACCTCTGGACGGTGGGTCCTCACGGGAAGCTTCTCGCTGTCTGCAAGCGGCCTGGAAAGAATAAGAGAAACAGAGATTAGATGGACAGAAAGAAAAGGAGATTGTGAGCAAGAGAGATAACCAGTTACATGGAAGCTAGGAAAGGCTTCAGTTTATTCAATACACAGTCCAAAGGCCTGTTCGCAACAAGTCTAATGTGACAGCGCCACACAAGTATAACATTTCATCAGCTAATACATTTCAAACTGTTGTTCTTAAATTAGCCAATCAGTGCTAAGAATTGATTTAATTTAACAAAAAAAAAACACTACTGAATCTGAACTATTTTAATTTGTTGAACATCTACATTTCTCCACAGATACGAGCTAAACATGGTTTCTAGAGTGTGAAGGCAACAGAAATTGTTGGGAGTTCTGAATAGAATGAGACATAAAAAAAATAATAGAAATAACTGGACATCATGTCTTTATTTTGCACTGTGCTCTGTCGCTGCATACAACAACACTCAAAGTGCAACCAGTGTAGTTCACTTCACAATCAGTTCAATTCAAGGAAATGGTTGTTTTTAATCACTCAAAGCACTCACAAATCCATCTAAAAAGTTACTGATCTGAATTTGTCAAACAAATGAAAAATAAAAACATACAAAAGTATTTAAAAAAAAAAAAAATTCCAAACCAAACAAAAAAGAAAAACTAAATAAAAACTAAACTGACCTAACCTCCAAACAGAACAAAACAAAACAAAACAAAAGAAACATAATATTCTCAACTAGGTATGAAGGAGTTTGCTTCGCTTCATTTGAAATCTTGTGGTGTATTGTGTTGTGTCAGAAATTGAGATTTGGTGTGAAGAGGCCTTTAAATCAGTAAAATGTTTCTGTACAACAACAAGCTGAAAACAGCTGAGGGGTTTAAAATCTGTGCCCACGAGTTTCAAGGGAAAAGTCAAAGCCAGGCAAGGCTGTCAATGCTGGTGTGTACTGTATATACACTACCATTAAAAAGTTTGAGGTCAGTAAGATTTTTAATATTTTTGAAAGAAATTATCAGTTTTATTCAGCTAGGATGCATTAAATTGATCAAAAGTGACAGTAAATGAATTTATAATGTTACAAAAAATTTGATTTAAAATGAATTCCATTCTTTTGAACCCCAAACTTTATAAACAAAGTGTTCAAGTTGTAGCAATATGACCACAGCCAAAACCCAACCTGCAGGTGAGCTGATCAGTCATGCACAATGTATTCTTGACAAATATTATTTCGGTCCAACAGTGACATACTACAATTGCCAGGAAAAAAAAAAAAAAAACAGATGCTGGTAATTGGGCAGTTGATTCCACGGGGTCAAATGACCACATGAAGTACTTACCTTGAGCTAGAACCAGACAGCAGACTGTCAGGAGGGCAGATGTGTGCGTGCATGAGGGAGAGAGAGAGAGAGAGAGAGAGAGAGAGAGAGAGATCGAGAGACACAAGCAGAAAGCAGTGTATGTAAGAGAGTGGAGCATATTCAGAAGAACTGGAGAAAGCTCCTCGATATCAGAACACGGAAAACCCAACAGCTGCAAAAGAACTAGATTTGTTTTGCATCTGCATGAACAGAGATTCTGGACTCCGCAATCAGAACCTGCTAAAGGCATCTAATGAATGACAGCCATGAGAAACATGAAAATGAAAACAATATCTGGAGGGAAAACAGTGGTGATACTGAAAATGAAGTATTAATATCCTCAGACTGACAGAAAGTGTCTCAGACCAAACACCGGACACAAAACAAGAACGCCAAATTTCAGTTTTAGTAAAAAATGAATTTCTGTGCATCACTACATGTAGCACATGTATGAACTGTAGGAGGCATCAATGTGGTACATACTTGTCCAGATCGATGTCCAGAGCTTTATGAGGGTCATTGGGATCCTTATCGTCATCGTCACTCGGTAAGGCATTCTGGGAACCAAGACAAACCAACATTATTGCATATAGTTTAGGGGATAAAAATAACAACTCCAAAATAACAGCTGCTCACCTCTGGCATTTCCTCTGTGACTATGTCCACCTGGTGAGCGGGCGCTATGTCTTCCTCGCTCTCAGGACCTGAATCCGCCTTCCTCTCTTTCCCTCGCTTCTCCCGCTTTTTCTTTTTCTCCTTCTTTCTCTCAGCCTTCTCCTTCTGCCGGCGCTCCTCCTCCAGCTTCAGGTATTGGTCGGACATGGGCATCCCTGGACCAAACAATGGACAATGAAATTAAACCGTGGTTTTATTTGGTCTGCTGAAATAAGAGATTGTAGATTTGCTTACCTGGGACTTTAAGAGGCACACTAAGGTCGATCTGCACCACCGGAATGTGTTCTACACCTGGAGCGTCATACACCTGCAATTGCAAACAAGTTCGAGGTGCTTAAAAGCATGTTTCGGCCTGAGGTTTATGTGATCGCAGAAATCATTTGACTGCGTACCTTCTGAGATGATGGCGAGGCCTTGATGTAGAATGGGTTGTTGGCCTGTTCCCGCTTCCTGGCTTCCCTCCTCTGTGTGAAATCGGACAAGTGTATTAGGACTAGGGGTGGACGATATGTCCAAAATCTTATATCACAATAAGAGTAATTTTATTTCATGGTAACGATATAGATCACGATATAGTTTTTTTTTTTTAAATAAGGTCTCTATATCAAAATGTTTTATACCATAAAAATTTCATAATTCTTGTCACCAGTGTCAATATCACAAAAAAACTAATACTAGCCTAAATAAAAAACAAAAAAACTCAAGCTCACTGAAAACAAGTAAACAGTCAGCGATTAAATAAGAATAAGAATCTAATTAGAAGCAATAGGACAAAAAACTACAGTAGAACAAATAAATAAGAAATGCTACATACATTGCATAAAGTAATCAAATGTATAAAAACACTGCATATTCTTCACTGTGTAAATTCAATTTCTACTTATTAAAGTAACAAAAGTGATTTAGTCAAGAGCAGTTAGAGATTTTCTCTCTTTTGTGGTTTGATTAACATGAATGACAGATAGCAGGAATATTAGACTGCTGTCACTTTAAGAGCTGCCCGAACCCAATATACTGTTACGCATGTTTTCTTTCTCAGCAGTTTGCTTTCACTTAAGACATAATTACTCCGTTTACGAGGACATTTGCAAAGATGGGCATTTTGACACATACAAGTGTGTGTATTTAACCATTCAAGGCCTATACAGCAGTAAAAATAACTCCGTTCAATGCTCCCGCGCTCTATGAGCACAGTCTTCACGTGCGCGCGCCTTTCTGACGGAGCTCAGAAACAGTCTCTCAGACAGCTCACGCATATAGTGAAATGAGTTCTCTTTCGCTGCTGAATGCATTTCAACAGCTTACAATTGCTTGTTTTTAAACCGCAACGCTTAAAAATGTGTGCAAATGATACATTTTCATGGTCATGCAGCACAGCAACGTCATGAGAGCGTGTAACCGCAATAGAGGCCATAGTCCAAAATCTCTACTAGTTGACAAATGTCTACCGGTTAATTGTGTCTACCGGTATATCGCACACCCCTAATTAGGACGGCTGTATTTTTATATTTTCTGTAGGTCTAAAGGACATCGTGGACTTACCCTGGCCAACTCTTTCTCGTCCACCTCAGTGTGTCTTGATCTGGAATGCTTGGGTTCCTCTTTAGCGAACACCGCTTTGGGCTTCTCGTCCTCAGACTCGCTCTCTGACGGAGGCTTATTGATCCAGGCATCCAAATCCAGACTGGAGGGGGAAAACAACAGCTGAAACATCTATTTCTTTCGATTCCCTTGATATACACTCAATGACTCACCCTTCTGGTACAGGCACTTTCTTCTGGGCCTTGGGGGCCACGGGATTGAGCTCTCCAGCGAAGAGAGCCGTCACTTCCTCTGCCACCTCCACCTTCTTCTGCTGCAGCTTCTGGATGTACTTCACCAGCTGGAGGATGCAGGACGCCTGCAGGGGAACACCATGGTTAATGTTGCAGTGTGTGTGTGTGTGTGTCTGTTCCGAAGCCTAATAAACCCTATTATTTTAATCACAATCAATGAAAAGCGCTTTGCTCATGCTCACAACTGATTCCAATGGAGGTACATATCAGACCCCATTAAACCCTGCAAAAACACATTAGACAGCATCAGACCCCTTTAAACCCTCTTCGGATGCCTAATAATCCACATCAGATCCATTACACCAAAACAGACCACATTAGGAACTAGGGCTGGGCAAAAAAAAAATCGATTTTCCGATTAATCGTTTTTTAAAATGACGTCGATTCGATATCGATTCTCAAAAGCCGCGAATCGATCTTTTCCAGTATTTATTTCAGCACACATTTAAAACAAGATCTGATTAACATGAATCTTATCATTAGTCTTCTCCACTAGATGTCACCCTTATTTACCTTGCGCGATGTTACAACAGAAAGCCTGTCAAAGTCATTCATTCAGCACTTATCATGGCCATACGCGCAATTCGCAATGCTCAGGTGAAATGCTATAGTAATACTATAAATCTGCAGAAGCATCTGATATCACGCATAAGGCGCCATGATTTCCGCAATGAATGAATGGCGGATGGTGCGGCGCACTTTGTTTACTACACACATACTAAAGCGCGGATGACGCTCGCGGTGTTAAAAAAAAGAATAGGTTTAAAATACAGGCATGTGGTTCTTAATTTCTTTTTATTAATTCACCATTTGTAAACTGATGTTTACTGTACATTTTTTTAGAAATATCAATAGCATTTGTATTAAAACTATATTCACGGAATGTAATAAAAAAAATCGAGAATCGAATCGAATCGAGAGCTTGCGTATCGAAATCGAATCGGGACATCTGAATCGATACCCAGCCCTATTAGGAACCCATGAGATCTCTAAAAAAAAAAACACATCAGACCATAAAAGTGGTTGCTACAGTCCTCTGCTAACTGCAAGGCGTTCGCAACATGTTGCAAGCTAGCATGTTTCTAACACATTTAACACTTCACTGGCATGTTTAGCACATTGCTAACATGACTCAGCATATTACTAACCATGTTTCTAGCATAATTTAACTTATTGCAAAGCATAAGCATGTTAACTCTTTCCCCGCCATTGACGAGTTATCTCGTCTTTTACAAGAAAACGCTTCCCCCGCCAAAGACGAGTTTTTACGGCTTTTCGTGTTTTCACTGTTATACACTCGGGGGCGCTATTACGCATCTTCTGAACGAGTACAAAACCTCCCGAACAAAAACACACATGAACAGGACGGAAAAACGAGCGATCTCTTACATAAACAGATGCATATGAAAAATAATGCGATCATCAGCAATAGACAGCATATAAATGAAAACTGCATAATGTTACAGAGTAAAATGTTGATCCAGGAAGTGGAATATTTCTGTGCAAGGTTTAGAGGTGTTGATGGAAGAGATTTACTGGATTTATGCTTTGATAATCGTACTGAATATTATCCAGATGTAGTTTTTGATAAAAATGTGATTTTCTCACCTTTTTGCTCAAAATTATGCATTTTTATGAAACCTACCTATATTCAAGTGTTGATAAAAAAAGAATGCTTTAAGCTTGAATAAAACTGATTTTTTTTGTTTAAAAGTAATTTTGTTTAAAAAGTTTATTTAGGTGTATTGCATATTCAAATATTCATACAGCAAAATATACTGAAGGCCATCAAATTTTAGTGAAAATCATCAAAAATGCTGGCGGGGAAAGAGTTAAAATGATCACTTTGTTAACATGTTGCTGCAATGTTGTTGAAGTTTTAACACACTGCTAGCAAGATATAACATGTTTCTGACATCCTTTAGCATGTTTCAACATGTTGTTACCATGATGCTAACATGACTTAAACATGCTAGCAACATACTAGCAATCAGTGTTGGGGGTAATATATTACAACGCAATATTGTAATGCATTACTTTTAAAAGTAACTTTCCCCAACACTGCTACCAATAAGTTATCACATTGTTAACATGTTGCTATGTTGTTGCCATTTCTTACACCTTGTTTGAATTAGCATGTTGCTTGTGCAATTCCAGCATTTTAGCACATTGCTAGCATGCTGCTAACATGTTTTAACACATTGCTGGCTTCTACTATGTTGTTGCCATGTTCTAACACACTGCTAACTTGACCAAGCATGCTGCTTGGATATTTGTAACATTTCCAGCATGTTGCTAACATGTTGCTAGCATTTTGTTAACATGTATTATCACATTGCTAGCATGTTTTAAAATGTTGCTAGCATGTTTTAAAATAATGCTAACATGCTTTAGCACATTGCCATTTTCGATTGTCATGACACATAGTCTCAGCCTCAGACGTCACGCCCACGGACAGTTGGCTGAATGTCTGACACACAAATTTGGAAACACTTCAGGAGTTTCGAAGTTATCATCTGATTGGTTGAATTATACAATATTTCCGGGAGATGTGTGTCGCGTTGTTTAACCTGGAAACAACGATGCCATGATGCCAAACCCCCTCATGTTAGAAGAAAGCTGTCGTGTTTACAACTGTGATAATGAGCACTTATCAGGATCAACTAAACGCTGGATTTTCAAAAGTATGTTAAATATGTAAAGTTCGCGACATAGACTCTTTAAAACTCGTCCAAGTTTTACACACCGGTCTGTTATTGTGGCAACATTTCCACACCCCTAAACATGATGCGGCGCAAAACGAAACATGATTGGTTGCTTTATCTGTCAGTCAGGGATTTACATCCGAAATATAGGGCGAGGACTTGATTCAATTCACTGGTTGTTGAATGGATTTTGAGATTTTGGAAATGAATTTCCACTTCATTTTATATCATTTTGTCATCTAGTGTCTGGAATAGCCTTCATGCTAGGAAAGTACCTGTGATGCCAAAAACACTGCCAGCCACCCCTTATGAAAAATTAACCATGGTTTTACTATAGAAAAAATTGTAGTTACCATGGTTTTTTGGTGTATTGATTACCATTTGTATAACCACAGGTTTACTTACAAATACTATGGTTAGTGTACCAAAACCATGGTTAATTTGTGGCTACCATGGTTTAACTATAGTAACCATGTTTTTTGGTTTTATTTGTAGTAAAATCATGGTGAAGTTTCATAAGGGACGAGATGTCAGAATAAAGCTTCTCCTCACCCTCTCCTGCACTTCCAGGTTGGCACTCTGGACGAAGAGGGGCAGTCTGTCTATGAGCAGCTGGCTGGTCTCCTGCGCAGCATGGCTGTCCGTCTCCCCTTCGTGCTTTCGCAACACGGTCGCAAACAGCTTGGCAGCATTTTGTACGTACACCGCCTGGATGTGACCGGGCAGGGTGGCCACTTTGGGCCTCAGCATAGCCTCCAGTGTCTGCATGGGGTCTTCCAGATGCCTGTGGGGAAAAGGATGTTAGCATGCTGCTATATGGTTGAAGTATGAACCTTTCCAGATCGTCAGCACGTACTCTGAGAACTCTCCGCAGATCCACGCAGCAGCGTAGAGAACCTCGCAGATCCCGTTGCGCTGCGTGTTGCCGGTCAGCAGGTGTGCGTTGTCCAGCAGAGTGGCCATCTGAGCCACGGCGAAGCCTCTGATGGCTTTGACACGGATGGCGACGTCCAGCATCTGAGAGGCGATTAGGTGGCCGTGCCTTGTACCTTCCAGACGAGTCAGTTCGACCAGGATACTGATGTACCTGGAAGACAGATAAGGTTGTTTTCTGACTTCTGTATCCAGTAATGGCTATGTAAAATAGTAACGGTTACTGGTAAAACTACGTTTAAGGGCTGGTTCACATAGAATGTGCATTTGTGCTAAAGTGAGACGCAGGACAGTGGAATAGGAAAAAAAAATGCAAGTCTCAGTACTATATTTAAGGGGCAGTTCACACAGAACATATTTTTGCACACAGGGCAGTGAAAGGGCGAAAAAAACACAAGGTCTTGGGACCATAATTAAGGGCCAGTTCATACAAAATGCCGTTTTCTGTTTAGTAACGTAAGATGCAGGGTAGTGGAAGACAAGTCAAGATATTTTTTTAAGCTGAGCTGTGTTATGTATGATATAGCTCAAGATCCAGCCAAAGACCTCCATCTAGCGCATGTTTACATAGAAAAACAACTGAAATTCTCTGTCAACGGCCCCTAAATGTGTACTGGGCTGTTGTTTAGTCTTACCACTCAAAGTTGGTGATATACTGGTAGTTGCTCTGGCTGCAGATGTCGATGATCTTGGTGAGCAGCTCGTCTCGGTAAGTGGTGCCTTCCGCTTTGTCAACATGCAGCATGAGCTTCTTCACAATCTCCATCAGGTTCTTCTTCGAGACCTAGTTACCCACATTTTCCACCACATTTTAATAACCTCTTATATTTGAACTCTTCACAACGAGACTTAAGAGGAACGTAAGCAAACAAATGCCGTTAACAAAAAGTCGTACACACCATGCCATAGAGCAGATCCAGAGCTCTCAGTCGGATGGACTCATCTTTGTCGTCCAAACACTGCAGAATCAGGTCCTTGTGCGACTGCACGGACTTGGGGTGCGTCTTCAGGATCTTGGACATGGCCAGAAGACCCAAGTACTTCACTGCAAAACATCACAGCACCTAAGTGACTCTTGCAATGAAGCGCAGTCTCTCTGTTTTATGGTAATTTATTAGGGCTGCACAATTAATCGAATTTCTAATCGCGATTTATATTTGACATTTGAGGCTTAATACTATAGAAAAGCACTAAAAGTTTTTCAGTTAGAGTGTTTTCAGCTTGTTTATTTTCATATAAAAATACGGCATGCAGTTGCATCAAACAATGGTATAAACATCATTCAATGTCAATTGTGATAACCGTAATTAATAATCGCAATTACAATTTCAAGGGAATAATCGCCAAGTATGATTTTTGTCATAATCGTGCAGCCCTATAATGTATGCTAACTGACGTTTTGTCTCAGTTCTTCTATTTACACAAGTCGGCATGTAATGGAAGTAGCAACAGATATTTTTGTCCATATTACGAAGTACATCCGAGTGAAATGGATTATGGAAAAGAAAAAAAAATGTGGGACTCGTTTTTCTCTAATGGTTGTTGATTGGATGAAGGCAAATCTGAACGTGAGCTTGCAAGCGATTGTAAGAAAGCGGTAGAGTTTGAATGGACAAAATGATGCAGAAGTCCTGCATACATCACCCAAGAGATGTCTAGCATTTTACCAAAAAATTGAGACATTTTTATTTAAAAATATAAGGTCAAAAATTATAAAAAAAAACTTCGAGCTTCCATTTTGTGCCGACTTTCAAATATGCTGAATTTAAAGCCTATTGCTAAAATGTTACTAAATGTACAGCATTTGAAATGACACAAAGACAATGGGAAAACACAAACACAAAGGACAACAAACACACACCCCCAACAACAACACAAATGGACTTCAGTTTTGTTTTACTCTGCCAGATTTTACAAAAATTAACCACATATTTGATTTAAGGCCATTGATGGTTGAAATGCCCATAAAATCAAATAGACTAATACAGATGCATGACAGCTGGAGCCACAGTTCTGTAGTGTTGGGCCATTAGGACAGTGGGCTTATCCGGCACGTTCTAAGTTTGTTGATGAAAAAACAAAATGTACAAAAACTGATCTATTTAAGGAAGACATGGGTCTTCAGGATTGACAGAATGCCAAAACATTCAGCTGGAAGTAAATACCAAACGGCCCTGTGAGGGAACTCAGCGGTTTTTGAGAAACAAAACATGGCAGTCCAGGCTTCACAGAGCTACTCTACAGCCGGCTTCACTGGGACACTGATAACTCGAACTCCTGCAAGATAATTCAGATTACTTGATGCATACGTCTTGAAATGCTACTGCTTTCTGGAGGAACCTTTTCTGGTTCCTCAAGCTATAAAAATATGATTGACTCTTGCCAATTCCCTATTGTAGAACTGAGGTGTCTTCGAGTTATCCAGGATGGAGATCTATACGGACTTCATCTACAGGGCCAGAAGGGGGGACTCAGAAACACACAGACAATGAGAGAATGACACACTGCAGGCATTGACAGAAGGCTCACAGTTCTGGTCCGAGTCTTCAATCAGGATTCGCAGTTTCTGCACACAGAGCTGTGGACCGGAGAGAGAAATGGAAAACAGAAGGAGAGATAAAAGGCATTATTACCATGTTTAAAACCTTTCCACACCATTTTACATCAACGGTCAAAGAGGAAGCCAACTTCAGATGGGTCAAGTGCTTGTCTGAAAGCCAAGGATTCAGTTTGGCAACTTATAAAAATCAAATAAGAAACGTATGGCTGAATGTTGATATTTAGAGGTGGCCGATATATAATATAATTTCCATTTCCATTTATCAGCCAGTTTCTTCCAAAGTGACTATTTGATGATAATAATTGCTGAAATTAATTTTTTTAAATTTACTTTTTAAAAATAATTCAGTAATTCATTCATTTAGCAGCGGTTTTATGCAAAAGTGACTATTTAATTATGATAATTGCTGAAATTAATTCGTCCCCAAAGATTAGTCTCAACATGTCCATTATTTACTAAATAAAATAATAATAACAATAATAATTTGTGCGTTAGATGATTTGCTTCTTCACTGAACTGTAGTAAAAGACATGAAAGGACACATAATACTAAATATTATTACCAATATTAAATAACTTTAATCAATAAATTAATCATATGAATATTAATATACATTATTCGTATTTAGGTATTTTATAAATTACATTAAAAACTTTAGGCATTGGCCAAATCAGGGTTTCTGCAGGATTTTTAAGCTCAAATTTAAGACTTTTTAAAACCTTTTTTAAGACCTGCACAAATAAGATTAATACCATATGAGCGGGGTAGGGCAATGTCTATAGTACCATATTAAACTGTAAAATGACTGTAAAAAGCATAATTTACAGTTCAGATACAAGTTTTCACAAAAACAAAGTTTTATAAAATGATAAACTTTACATTTCAGCCTTTAAACCATTGTTAAGAAAATGGAGGAGTCAAAAGTATTATTATATTAATTTAAACGATTATTATCAATAAATTATCATATCAATTAAATAACATAAATTAGCGCTGAATTTAATTCTCTCTCTGTTGTCTATGCTCATCGTTAGTCTTGTGAAATCGGAGTCACGTAAATAATCCGTCAAGATCCTCTCCTAATAAAGACGTAACTGTGCATGAGTTAAATAATACAGCCATGAATGAGCGCATGTTTGAAATAAAAGCGCTGAATTTAATTCTCTCTCTGTTGTATATTTGCTCATCATTAGTCTCG